GTGACGACAGATCATAGTTACCGTTCAGATTATTGGTATACACTCAGGTATCGTTGCTGACAATAACAACTACCTAACCTAACCTAACCCTAATTGGCTCGTTAGGACTTGGTAAATGGCACAAAGTTCAGTCAGGTAAAGGTGATGGGGAAAGGTGTGACAATAAGTATAAAGGTGTGGCAATAAGTAGAAAGGTGTGACAATAAGTAGAAAGGTGTGACAATAATCATAAAAGTGTAACAAGCAGAAAATTGTGACAACTGAAGGAAATACTTAAGGAAAACATTACAAAAATCAGTCCAAAACAAATACCTTAACAAAAGAAAAACAAAAAGTTTTACCCAAAATCATTTAACACGTTACAAAATCTGACCCGATTTCCCGCCTACTTAAGTTAATCTATTTATTGTATATATGAAGTTTTGCCACACCAGTCACCATTACCTTTCCTCTTCGTCTTCCACTTCTTCTTCTTCTTTTTCCTACTACACCTCTTCTTCTCCCCTCCTCCTCCTCCTCCTTTTCTTTTTCTCCTACACTTCTTCTTCCTCCTATCCCTCCTCCTATCCCTCCTCCCATCCCTCCTCCTCTGGCCGGACGTTCAAGAATTGACTATTTCCCCAAGGCAATGTTTACGCAGATCTAATTCCCAAAGTCTTCCTGTTCTGGTCCTTAGTGTGACAATACGATCAACGCATTTCTTCCGTCCATATTCTTCCCCTATTGATCTTGAGGATAAAAGACAAAATGAGTAATAGCGAAGTAAAGGAATAAAAGTGGATGGGTAGAATAATGGTAAAAATATTCTGTGTTTGTCCATTTTTGGGAGGGTTAGGGGGGGGTGTTGAGGAGGGAGGATTGATTCTGGTGTGGTTTTCTAGCTAGTGGGGTTATTTCTGGTTGATTTCGGGTAATTTAGGTTGATTTCGGGTAATTTAGGTTGATTTCGGGCTGCTATTGGTTAATTTAGGGAAGGTTAGCGAGTTTCTGGTCTCCTATTGGTTGATTTTCTAAAAGTTAGCGAGTTTCTGGTGTGCTATTGGTTGATTCAGGGAAGGTTAGCGAGTTTTTGGTCACCTATTGGTTGATTTAGGGAAGGTTAGCGAGTTTCTGGGCTCCTATTTTTTTATTTTGGGAAATGTATCCAGTTTCTGGGCTCCTATTGGTTGATTTAGGAAAACTTATCTAGTTTCTGGTCTCCTATTGGTTGATTTAGAGGTTACCAAATTCCTGGGCTCCTATTGGTTGATGTAAGGAAATTTATTCCGTTTCAGGGCTCCTATTGATTAATTTAGAGTAAGTTATGTAGTTTTTGGGCTCCTACTGGTTGATTTAGGAAAACTTATCTAGTTTCTGGTCTTCTATTGGTTAATTTGGGGAAGGTTATCAAGTTTATGGTCTCCTATTGGCTGATTTATATTAAACAACTTAGTTCTTGGGCTGTTATTGGTTCATTTAGGAAAGTTTTCCTAGTCCCTGGGCTTTTAGTGGTTGATTTTAGGAAGCTTACCTACTCTCTGATTCAGGGAAGGTTTCCTCGTGTTTTATGTAGACTCAATGAGCAGTGAACTCTGAGGAACTTGTAGTAGGTAAGGGCCTTGTGGTGGTGGCCGATGCCTTAACCTGACTGGTGAAGTAAGGAGGGTTTCATGGTCTCCTCTACGGGACGGGACCTAACAGTGGCCCTGAAGAGAGAGTGTGTGTGTGTGTCCTTACAATCCCTGAAAATGATCTGAAAGACTAGTGGACCTGGCAGCGCTGAAGCGGGTCAGTCTCTTACCACTGCCTCACCTGCAGGATCACGATATCCTTAAATCATCACACTGTAAACTTAGTATAATTGTAATATTTCCATCCTATAGGAAACCTCTAAAGTCGGGTGCTGAAACCAGGTCAGTCTCTTACCAGTGACTCACCATGAACACAACAGTTACCATCACTCCACCATAACACTCACCACACCACCAAAAATTACCACCATCTGCCCCAATTCACCATATGGTAAAGTCAGTCATTTTCTCGGGGTTTAGTTCCACACAAGGATACTCTGAAGTGAGATGGTGGAAAGGTTACAGTCACCACACAGCCCTTCACCAGACATCACAACACTAGCGGTAGGTGAGCGTCGTACAGTCCATCAACCTATATCTCTCTTCTCTCGCCACAGAAACACACAAGAACTACCTAAACTTCTCAAGGCTTCCAGAGCAAATACATCACGAAAACATAACACAATAAGTGACGTCACACAGCGGGAAATACAGGGAGGAAATTAACACAAAATAGGGATGAGGTTCACGGTGAAAATATCCCCTCCACCAGAATTCTCAGTTGGATACAGTAACCAACACAATCCTCACAACACAAATGTCCCCGTACTGGTGTCTGGGTCTCCCCTCGTACATATGTTTCAGGCACTTTCACGTTCGCTAAATACGACTCGATCCACCACTCACATGTGACTTTGAGAAACACACGTGGCACTGATTTAATAACTGTG